TTGCAGTTTTTGCATGTCTGACCTCTCAGCCAAAACCTGAGCTTTTTTCTTTCGCTCTACAAAAAAGCACAGAAAGCAAAAGCAATCTAAACAAAAGCAAGTAATGAAAAATAAGGAGAAAGACTGAAAGCCAAAACATAACTGATGTGTGCGGGTCCCTCATAGTGACTCATGTGGTCTTAAGGTTGGAGGGCTGATTTATGGAGCTGCCTTCCACCATCCCTCACTGCAGCCCCCACTGCAGCCCCTGCTCGTGCCCTCCAGAGTATCCTTGCGGCGTTTCTGTCACATGCTAGTAACCGTGTAAAAGCCTTCAGCGTGTGTGTGAGTGTGTATGTGAGCGTTCATGCTTGTGGACTTCTAATGACTGTCCAGGTGCATTTTCATGCCACACTGGTCATTTGACACGGCACAGTCCTTTGAGCTCATGGTATGTTTGGGATTCAATCTTAAAGACAAATGTTCCTCTGTGACAAAACAGGACTAATTCATTTCAGAACACCTGAGACTCTGAACAGAAACAGTGCAACACAGCACTTCAGCTGTAAATGGGTGTAATCCAAGCATATAGATAGACAGTCAGATAGACAGACAGTCAGATAGACAGACAGATGGATAGGCAGGCAGGCAGGCAGACATTCAGATAGATAGATAGATAGATAGATAGATAGATAGATAGATAGATAGATAGATAGATAGATAGATAGATAGATAGATAGATAGATAGATAGATAGATAGATAGATAGATAGATAGATAGATAGAAACGTAGACAGACAGACAGATAGATACACAGATAGATAGACAATAGAAATAGATAGATAGATAGATAGATAGATAGATAGATAGATAGATAGATAAACAGGCAGACAGACAGACGGACAGACAGACAGATAGATAGACAGATAGAAGATATAAAAATAGATTAATAGATCTTAAAATCATGTACATGTATTAAAAGAAGCCATAAAAATGTTCAGAATTCACAAGATGCTTAGAGTAAACTTAAACAACTCTGTTTACAAATGCGAGAATGAAAGTGAACTTGTAAATATGATATGATTTGATGTAGTCATTAACGAGATTTTATGACACTTTGCGTGTTTTGTAATCTGCTTCACTCACGCACTTTATCACTGGAACAAACATGAGCCGAACACCTTACGACGTGTTTGTAAATGGTGCGAAACCATGTGGAAATAGCTCCTTGACACCGAGCGCTCGTCCGCTAAGTAATTGCTTCCCGAATTATTCGCGAGTCGCGCCAAGCTCTCGTTCCTTTTGTCACTTTAACAAAGCTCCCTGATTAACTGTTGTCATAAAAGGACCCGGGGCCAATTAGATTTGTGGAGGATACGACTATGGACGGGGCAATCTGCTGGCAGGGCGGAGGAGGAGAGGGGGCGGCGCCTCAAAGTTAATTTAAGGTCAATCACAACTCCCAGCTGTCTGCTTTCTGCCTGCTGCAATTCAGCGGGCAAAGCTCAGCTTGATTTGCTTGCGTGGAAACCTGCGTTTAGGGGCCGGCGCTAATCATGCCAAACAAACCTGTAGGGTGGCACCCCTTCATCAGCGCTAAAAGACTCAGAGAACGAGGAGAAGAAAGTGCGCCTCGGGAACTTTCGGCGCGGTTTCCTTGGCCACCTACTGCCTCTCAAAGACACGTATCAATTACCTTAACAAGACAGCGGCAGCTTTGCCTCAGGCTTTTACGTGAGATTGCATTGTGGCAGCACTCGCAGTCCCGTGAACTAGAGGCATCTGGTCTGCCTATTAGTCTGTGATGAGTGTAAAATGTGATGTATAGCAACCTCCGGCTCCCAGGCCACTTACTGGGTAGGTGAAGCAGAGGACGTTTGCTCAAAGTCTGTGTTTGGCTGAGGCCTTAGTGAGGAACTTCGAGAGTTGGCTGAAGGAGTGCGTTCTGGTCTGCTTCCATTTGTCCCGCTGAGGAATGGGAGCAGTGTAGTATCTGATGCCTTCAATCTATCAGCCACTTTGCCTTTCCTGGGAGACTGCAGGACTGAGGCGAAGCCAGATTGTCTCTTTTCAGAGTTCCATCGCTCCCCTACCTCCACTGACAGGACTAAGTGCTTCACTGTCGCGCCTCCAGCACTGCCGGAATGGACTTATTAGCATTCTACATCACCAGACTGCTGGTGGGTTGGACAGTTATATACTCAAACTCTTAAACTCTTGATTTTCTGAATTTACCACAAAAATTGAACTTCAACGTTCGAAAAAGTTAATTCAGACAAGTTACACAAGTTGATGCATTCACCAATACCACTTGAACCTGAACACAGTAAACTAGCGATGTACCAAGTTTATGGTAATTACATTAATAGCCAGCCTTGCCTCCATGTATTTTGTTCATATTTTGACATATCAAATAAAAATATTGAAGTTCACATAAAAGGTTGTACCTTTGCTTAAGGTGGATACTTTTTTGTGAGTACAAAAGAAACGCAAGAAATTATGATGGAATTGCATTTACTAAGGAAAACATAACAGTGAGTTTGTTTACATGCACTTAATAATCCAATAACTTTTTGTCAGTAATCCGATCAAGGCATTTATATGCACTTGAGTAATCAGATAATGGGAAACTCTGGGTCTACATGAGTCAGACAGTAATCTGATTTCATTAAACATGTAGTTGGTTTTAGCGTCGCTCCAAAAGTGTTCCCCTGCCCTCTCGCGGCAACACTGCTTGCTTATTTCCGTTAGCACTGTCTGTTTTCGCACATGTGCAGACTGAGAAATCTGATTACTGAGATAAATCCAGGTCTTTTTTTTAAATCAGATTTCTTAATCGGATTACTAGACCTTACTCCGATCTAAGACATCGGAGTATGCTGTCTGCATGACCATTTGAATAATCAGATGACTGCAGAAATCCGATTATGATCAGATTATTAAGTGCATGTTAACTGGTACACATAAGGCACCTGCTGCTTTATGTTTGCCAGTGGGTTCTAAAAATGAAACAAAATAGCAGTGACAAGATGCTTAACATTTACAAGATCTCTGTAGATTTTTCTCAGAAGTGTTTTATTTACGCAACACAGTGAGTTTTATTCTCTTGACCAATCTGACACACAGTCATCTCTGGCTTTGGCTTGGTGACAACCAAGATGACATGTCAGCTATGTCCCAGCAACCAGAACTTGTTCATAAATGACAAAAGTATCAGAGTCTCCAAAACGATGTCAGACGGGACTCAAACTGGCCTACGAACGCCTAAAAAGTTTCAGCTTCTGAATAAAGCGATGAGGCTCTTCACGTTACTCTCACTTTTGTTTTGTGCTCTGTCACATATGAAGCTGCATTTCCAAAAGCACCTCACACTGAGGCATGGAGAACCCAGTTGTGAATCAAAAAGGGCTCAAAGTTTAGGTCCAGATGAGGTGGAGAAACTTTATGTTCTCCTTTTGCTTTTCCCAAATGGAGAGCGTCCTGCACAGTGTCACAGTTTGCCCATTTTGTTAGAAGCAAAAGACCTTTCGAATGATATTCTGCACATCTGAAACTCAAAAAAAAAAAAAGTCGTTCAGTGTGTATAGTTTTGATACAGAAAAATCACATCGGAATATTTATTCTCATCACGTTTGGTGTGTAACTTATATTGCATAATTTTTGCGACATTTCGGTTACTCACTCGAATTGAGTTCAACAGCTACATGGAAATGTGGCTAATGAATTAAAAAGCACCACAAACAGCAGCATCTTCCGTGTCCTTTCTAGACTTATCTTGCAGTGTGTTAAATCTTAACAGCAGTCATTGATGTCGGTGGTCCCTTACAGTGGGTATTTATGTTGCTCATGTTATCAATTTGTCAGTTACTGACCACCAAATGCAATCATGCGGTAGTTATAATGTAGTGACAAGGCAATTTTAGTGTTTACGAGTTGATGACGACTGTCCATTGCACCATACAAACCACAGGCTCCACCCACTCCCCCTATGTATTATAATAATTATCACTTGTCTCTTGTTGCTTATTCAAAGACCCATCAGGATTGCTTTATTTACCTCTTATCTTCTATCTCTTGTTCTATCTATCTTGTTTTAAAAGAACAATATACGTTGAACAATTTTCTAGTCTGTTTGAGCCCTTTGTTGGTACACAAGAGATTCACTTCTTTCATGAATTCAGAGACCTTGGCTTTGTTATTGTGCTGGCTTTAGGAAGTATTTGAGAAATTTCTGCCTATTAAAATCAAGCTGAAAACAAACTAGGCCTTTTTTTCCTTGTTGGTTCATGTCCTTGGTCATATTATGCACAAGTCATCATATCATGCTATTTAAAAAAACTATTTCCCATCTTCCGTAATCTTCCACCAATATGTAATAACCTCTGTCTGTCTTTAAAACATCTACCGAGTTTTGATTACATGACTTTGCACCCAAAATAATACCAATAATATAACCAAGAATAACATAAAAACACTCAGCTGGCTCAGTGACCCTCCGAGATGCTGTGTTTTGCTTGGAAATGCATGGGAGAGAAAATGCATTTTTCCAGTTCACTCTGACTTTAAGATACTGTATAACGCCAGAACATTTGAAAGTCTGGATGAGTTTAATTATGAATCTGTTCCCAAACATTGTCAGACCTTTTCCTAAAGATTATCTGCGCTGACAAGACTCTCCTACTCTCCTTCCTCTGAAACCAGAATCTGATCCAGGAGTTCTTCCCAGCACAGCACACAGCTTAATTAGCTCCTGTAAAGGTGCAGACCGCTTAAGGTCAATCAATCTGAGTAATTGGCTTCTGTTTGCTTCCACGTCTGCAGTTCGTTTTTCCTCATTTCAGTAGGCTGCCTCCAAGACATGGAATCACTGCTGAGGATCAGCTAACGCATTAGCCACTAGTATGAGAAACACAGCAATCTGGACACTGTCGATGTGGTCCATTGTGAATGGCATATGGTCAGCAGTGCTGGAAACCACACACACTAATTTGACTAATTCATTTCTCTGGTTGCGTTTGTCAGGACGGCAGATGATTCGGCAGCTGTGGGGACGGTGGTGGTGTGTCGGCTGAAGATGGGGGAGATAGAGGATGGAGAGGTGGACCACATTGCTGCTGACACACACCAGAAGGTAACACACATACACACACATCTTGGGTCTGCACAATGTATCATTTCTTAATCGGTATCGCAGTATCGCCTGAAGTGAGCAATATGCGAATGAGCCGATGAGCCAATCACTGTGGGCCAGCTGTTCATATGAGCGCAGAATGTTCCATAATGCGACTGCATATTTCATACATTTTATACATAACCCGCAGGCAGAATGCATTTGATTTGCGTACATCAGGCTCTGAATATTTTAATGTGTGCTGTGAGCACTGTGACAAATCACAGATATTTTGTGGGTGTTTGAAAGAATTAAGGTCTCAAGTCTTCCAAGAAACATAATAAAATATTTTGATCATTTGTGGGGTTGGAAGGTTGGAAGGTGAAATTCCTCTCCATCTTCAGCTTTCTGACAAAGGCCAGCAGATATTTGGAGTAAGTCACTATCCCATCTTGACTAAAGCCCTTAACTGAAGACAAGCAGCCCCAAAACATGATGCTTCCTCCACCATGCTTCACAGTAGGTATGCTGTCCTTTAGTTTATGAGCTGTGTCAAACTTTTTTTTTTTTTTTTGCACAGGCGACCCCACCCAACATACACTGTTCATATGAGCGCAGAAGCAGCGCAGAATGTTCCTGCGACCACAGTTTGCACACACAATGAACCTGAATGTAACATTCAGTCTACTAATTGCTTATCACGCACAGCACATAGCCCTGTTCATTAACTGCTTGCAGGGTTTAAAAGCCACAGTGAAATAATGGAGCTGTCAACAAACTCAAGACAAACCAGAAAATAAGAGTTCAGTGATGAAGAGATAGCAGTGTTAATAAATAAAGTTCTTTTCCACAGTGATGTTTTTTACTCCAGCTAAGAAAATAGAGTTTGCGAAACAGTAACACAGACCATGTGCGTATTGTGGGCGAATCGTGGTGTATATTTTGTGCCGCGTTTTCTTACATACTGCTCCTGAGAGTTGAAATATTGTTATTCTCTTGGTAAACATTCTGCCAGCATAGGTTCAAGGCTCTTGTGTCCATCTAACCACTGCGTTTGCTGCCATTGTTAGAAGAAACCTCCACAACATATCTTTTGAGGACCTATTGCAAATGAATACCTGGTTTTAAGATAGAAGAAACTTTAAATTGTTTCTCAAAATTTAGTAATTCGAGCAGAATATGTAAACGGCCACAGGTGTAATATCTCCACACGTTTCCCTCACATGTTTTGCGCAGTCTTTCCTCAAATGAAATATGCATGAGGAAGGAAGCTGCATGTTTAGGTCCATGCGCCAGTTTCATACATAACCCGCAGGCAGAATGCATCCGATTTGCGTACATCAGCCCCTAAATATTTTAATGTCTGCTGTGAGCATTCTGAACAATCACAGATATTTTGTGGGTGTATGAAAGAATTAAGGTCTCAAGTCTTCTAAAAAACATAATAAATTATTTTGATCAAAAAGAATGCTGGACAATTTTCAACCACATGTGCATGTTGGAAAGCAAAATTCCTCTCCATCGTCAGCTTTCTGACAAAGACCAGCAGATTTTGTGCCAAAATATCTTGATATTTGGAGTTTGTTACTACCCAGCTTGAAGCCCTTAACTGAAAACAAACAGTCCCAACATATGATACTTCCACCACCATGCTTCACAGTAGGTATGGTGTTCTTTAGTCTATTGTAAAATGCTGAGTATAGCATTGTAAAAATACATAAATGAATAAAACAAAATATAAAAATTGAGCAAATAAACAGTAATTGTGCAGTAAAATGTAAAATAAAATTATTATTACTGTTTTAATAAACAGTAAAATGTTAAATGTGTTCTCTGTAGAGGATGTGTTAACTTATTTTACTTAGAAAATCAACATTTTATTTGACCAGGGGCGCACAAACTTTTGCATACGGCTGTATGTGGTGTTCTGTCTGTAGTGTGCAGCCCTAACCAGAAAAGTTAAACTACTGCCAAAGTCGCTCCCTAAACTGATCCTTTCTTTTGCTACAGTTATAATTAAGTGTTGTGAACAGCGAATATTTAACTGCTTTTTTCCAAATATCACATTTTTTATCAAATTGACGTATTTATTAAACCAAAAATATTGCAGAGTAACTTTTTCCAAATATCATTCAGCCTTCATATGCCCTCACAGTGCTTCCTTCAAGTGATAAGCTGATGATCAGAGTGGTGCTAATACGACCCAGGTTAACCCAGCCTGTTAGCGGCTTAAGACAATCAATGTTATTCCTTCAGCTCTGTGCAAGTGAATATATGTCCGTGTGTGTGTGTGTTAAAATTCATGTGGTCAGCACTTCATTGAGATGCTTCGTCTCAGAGCCTCGAGCCTCTGCTCTTTCTGTGTGTGTGTGCGTGTGTGTGTGTGAGTGCATGTGTGAAAGGGTGGTGTGTGTGTGTGTGTGTATCAGTGTTAATCCGCTGTGAAGTGCAAAGCTGCACCTGTACCTTACAGACAGAGAGAAGAGTGAAGCAGGAGGAGAACAGATGTCGTCTTTGGAGATTATTATTCACAGTCTGTGGGATTGCTACATGCCATGGGCCTGCTACATGCTAAAAACAGAGTTGTATGTATTTAGTATTCAGTATTTATAATGGTATGGTTCATTTTCAGTGTTTTCTAGTGTGTTATTGAATAGAGCAGGGTATGACTGACATAGCAACCGCTGATGCACACCTTATTATGGTTTCTCTTGCTGGACAAACTTTATGCAAATGAGCTGAGTGCCGGGCGGTAGCCACAGGTAGGCCTGGGTGGGCCTGGGCTTGCCCAGACTGATTACAGTCAAATGAAGAAAAACATATTTATTAACCCAAAATTTTTAGGACAGTGAAAGTTGCTGATTTGTAAGCGTTGTCATTGTGTTGTGGCCAATCAAATCATTGCACTCTCTACCAAGCTCCGCCTACTTAGCCTATCAGTAATTGCTTAGCAACCACTGCTATCCACCATTGCCTCAAGCCTTCAATTCATTATCAGTGCTCCAGCGTTTGAATTTAAAGCTCCAGGTGCAGTAAAAAGATGTAGTTGGGGATGTTTAAAATAGAGATTCCGTCCCATAGACTTTGTTCATTCTACCCATTCAAAGCCAAAAACAAATGAAAAAAATGTTGTTGTCATCATTAGTTCTCTGCTAATTTGGTACTTTTTACAGCAGAAGCTGACATGGGCCTCTGTCACAACAACAGTTCAGACACTTGAGTGACTTTTTATGTTTGCAAAGAAATGGACAGGAGTGGGAGCTGATTATTTGGCAAAGTTTTTAACACAATATTAGGCTGATTCAGGGCACAGAAACAACCTAGAACTGCTGCTTGTGTTGTAGCGACACTGCCCCAAAATGGCAAGTTGGTGAAGGAAGCGATTCATGGCAGCATTACTGTAAATAGCGTATGGCTACTGTAGATTTTAAGCATAAACAAATTACATAAAAATACAAGCTTTACCCTACAAATACCACAAATAGGTCTTTACTATGTTTTTTCAGTTGCAGTATTTTGAAATCTGGGTCTGCTGCGGCCCCCTCAGCACCCCGCTTCCCACATCCCTGACGGGGTATTTTTTTGACTGCATTCAAAACAGTATTGCATTAAATTCACTTGTTTCAAAATTGTGCATCATTTCCATGTGAATAAAATATCATAAATCTACAGTCTTTCTGTTCTTGGCAGTGATTGTTGTTGCTTTAACAAATTTATTCCATGCTAAATTCTGTGGAGTGGGTGAATCTAGCATGCCAGATTCAATTGTTTTGAGGTAATGGAAGTAATGGAAGTACAGAGAAAGAGTAAAGAAAGGAGAAACACTAAAGTGGGGAGAAATGCAGGGTGAAATCTGTCATAGGTGGGAGCTGGGCTGGGAGAACTCAGATGTAAAATTTGAGCCTGACCTGAGAGCAGCACATATTTGGAAATTAACGTGAGCCGTTGAATCCCATCAGGTTCAGTCAAATATTTCAAGCTGTAGCTCAGCGGAGGGTCGTTTCCCCTTTTGAGTCCTGATTTTTGTCAGTGGATCTTCCTCGTGCTCTTAAGGAATTGCCCTGCTTTGGGACGATACCTGCTGTTAAGTGTTGTATACAGATAGTAGATAAAGAATTTGCTAGTACAGTGGTTCCTAACTACAGTCCTGCAGCTTCCCTTCCCTACATTTTCTCTGTCTTCCCTTCTTTAATGCAGCCACTTGGACTCTGGAGGTCTTATTAATGAGCTCATTAGACAGATCGGGTGTGTTAGATCAGGGTGTTCAGGAGCAGAGTTGGGAAACATTGTACTAGTGAACCACTGTGTAATACTACAGGTTGTTAGATGAGAGCAATGACTCCAGTGGCTTGTTCGCTCAGTCTGACCTCGCTCAGTGTTTACAGTTTACTGCATCAGGGAAAGGACTTTTTGCCAAAATGTTGAGCCCTGTACTGGTACTAATGTCGATCTTTCTCCAGTTCAGCCTGAAGTCTATTCAAGCTGGATTTGTTTTACCCTGTACAAATCCGCTACTATAATGTAAGTGGTTAATTGGAGAAATTTGTGATTTTACTCAAACAGTGTGTGTAGTTTCTCTAGTCTGACACTATTAATTGTGGTTTAATTTTAATCCAGTATGAATCTGCAGTGGGAATATTTTTTTAAGTTTGATTTAATTAATTATGGTGTGGATTTCAATCCAGTATTAATCTGCAGTGTGTGCAGTTTTTACAATCTGACAGTGTTAATTGTGATGTGGATTTTAATTCTGCATGAAACTTCAATGTATGTAGTTCTTACAGTCTGACAGTAATGATTGTGGTGTGATTTTAATCCAGTATGAATCTGCAGTGTGTGTAGTTTTACAGTCTGACAGTAATGATTGTGGTGTGATTTTAATCCAGTATGAATCTGCAGTGTGTGTAGTTTTTACAGTCTGACAGTAATGATTGTTGTGTGATTGTAATCCAGTATGAATCTGCAGTGTGTGTAGTTTTTACAGTCTGACAGTAATGATTGTGGTGTGATTGTAATCCAGT